ATCAATAAAAATGTTAAACGAAAGTTGGTTAGATGGTTCATGCATATTAAGTAGGGTTTAAAACCAATTTTTATTAAGCAAAAATACTATAGAACATGTGTGTGATACTTAAATAAAGTTTGAAGTACAAACTTTATAGATGACAATGAAATATTTGCTTTTGAAAAATAATATTGATTTCTAATATTTTCAATAGCCTAGAAATCGCAAATTGAAATCAAGTTCAGTTCAAAACTTTAAAAATTTTCAAGTCTGTCAATAGCTAGACGCTGCTATGTTTAGCAGTTTATTTGGAGAGATTAGGTTAAGGAGAGGTGTAGTGTTATAGCTCGATTGGGTAGTCTCATGTGCCATCTTGAGCATAGTGAAACTGGTTTGGCTCCTGGAGCAACCGTTTAGTCGTGTTGAGCGCTTTAAAAATCGTGCGAGTCACCTATCTCGGGTTGGTTGGTGTCGTGTGCGCGGTCACCACGCGGCCTCCCCACGCCGCGCACATGGTCGCGTCTCACGCGGTCACTCTGCGCCACCACGCTGGGTTGGTCGGCCCACCCGGGCTTGGCCGAGGCCGGCCATAGTGAGTCGTTGGCCCCGCGCCCTGTTGCCCTGCCTCACGCTGCCGCCATTGATGCCGCCGCGGCCGCACTGCGCTGCCGTCGCGTTCGCCGCTGCTGCCTCGCGTCGCGATGCTGCTGCTGCTGCCGTCGTGTCGCTCTCGTACTCACGTCTGCCTGCTCCATCGTGCTGCCCCCTCCTCGGCCCGGTTGGGTGCCGTCCGCACGTGGCCGTGCGCGCCGTCGTCACGCTATTAATGACACTGCGGCCGCGCGGGCAATGGCCGGTCGCGGACGCTCATGCTCGTTCCCTTGTGCTTGGACGTAGGTCCCTCGGCCACCATCACTCGTGTCCCGCCAAGGCGAGGACAAGCCGAGCCCACCTGCCGTGCTCCGTCTCTCTCTTTCTCTCTTCTCTCCCTCTGGCTTTCGCCGCCGTCGAGTCGCGGTCACGGTGAGCCAGAGAGCGAGCACCTCTCATCAATTCCTCGTGCTCGCGTCTTTGCCTTTACGTCCTCTTGCCGACCGCCCCATCCCGCCTTGATTACGGCCAGACCAAGCTCCAATTTTTGGCCCAGCCCGCCTCACCGTGGCCAACTCCAACCTCGCCATCTCGCCGCCTAGAACCCTTCTTCGTCGTGCTCACGCTAGTCGCAGCCCTAGTGCCGCCTCCACACCGCTGACATGGCCATGTCGCTGCGGTTCGCCGTCGAGCTCGCCGCGCGCACGTGGCCGGACTTGCTAGGGGCGTCTCCATCCAAGATACTGCCACGGGTAGGATCATGGTGCGTCACTTATGCTTACCCGTCACTTCTATTATCTGTTGCATGCTGTGGCTCACCGGAACGTGGTTGCCGCCGTTACAGGTCATCGCCGCCGAGGAGAGCCCGCTCTACTTCACCCCGTTCGTGCAACCACCGTCCATCGTCGCGCGTCGGTCCATAGGTGAGCATCGGTCTCCTAGCTAGGTCTGCAAGGATCCCGGGTGGCCAGCGTACCGCCTAGTGCCACCGCCCGCTGCGCCGGCGAGCGTGGGGCATCTCAGGGACCTCTCCGGTGCGAAGGTGAAAAGATACGAGGGCTCCGTTGCAAAGTCGCTGTCTATAGAAATAGTACGTGTAGTGTTCGCGCTATTGTCTGATAACCGGATGGTGTTTTTGCAAGAGTGCCAGTGCGCGCACGGGCTCCCCGCCGCGGGACGCCTCCTCGCGTGGGCCGCGTTGGGCCGAAATTGGTTTATCTTTTTCGTGGAAAATAGAAATAGCTTTTTATTTTAATTCTGTGCTAAATTTTGATAATTAATATAAAATAATGTAGATATCCAAAAATTATGAAACAAATTTTGTTAAGTTTCTAAAATTGTGCTCTATCTGTTAGTGTATTTAGTTCATATATACACATATTGATACCAGGAGCTATTAAATCATTTGAGAGTGCTTAATATTATTAGGTTAAATATTATAGGAATTTTTGTGGTAAATTAGTGATAGCTTTAGCTTTAAAAATTTTACAGTAGCTTTATGGTATTATTATGTGATCTCTGTAATTTTTATAGCCTTAGAATAGGCTAAGTACTAGGGAGTTAGGTGCTCCTTGTTGTAATATAAGTTAAATCGCTAATAAGAGTAAGATTATATTTTAGTTGCTAAGTTAATACCTGTTAGATGAATCCATACCCGTTTTTGTGGAAATGATAGGTAGTTAGCATCTTAACCATTAGAGTTAGCTTAATGGCTTAGTATATGTATTTTTATTTTAAGAATTGATGTTGCCTTAATATTAAAGTGTTGTATCATCATCGTATGCATGTAGAGAACGAGTTGACAGAGATCGTGACCATCAAAGATCACGAGTTTGAGGAGGTGGTCGAGGAATACGCTACAGATCGCATGCCTGTAGATTTCTGGCAGGAATTTGGGGGTTAGGCCGTTAGGGTTATCGATCAGCTCTGACATGTGAACTGTGTTTTTTTTTCTGTTTTTATATTAAACGAAAAAAAAAAAACACCAGGACTGGACCAAACAAAGCATGTGGTTTCTGATCGAGGCGTTCGGACTTGGGAATCGGTTGGCAGATGAGGCTGAGGTGAAGCCGAAGCCGAAGCTTGGCGGAGGCAGGTGCAACCGGTGGCCAACGCGAGGGCCACGCCCTGTGTCGCCGTTGTTTTTTTTCTGAGCCAACCCCATCAGTCTCGGCGTCCCCCCTTATTTAGCTATAGGTTTGGGGCCGCGGTTGATTGATGGATAACCCCTGCGTGCGTTTGGCTGCGTGCGTAGGTAGTTGGCTGCTCCGACTCCGATCTTCTAGACGACCCTCCTGCTCCTGCTCCTGCAGCTGCCGCTTCAAGGCTTGCTAGTCTTGAACGTTGGGTGCGAGATTTTGCCGGCGAGCGCGCGAAGGCGCTGACCACCGGAAACCACATGCGCCAGCTACAAACTAACAACTGGCGTGGACGCGCCTGCCTACGCGTCCGGCTTGCCAACCGTCCACAGTCCAATCCATCTGCCCCCAACACTTGACCTCCATATACTATAATCTCAGTAACGAGTTTTACAGGGTTTCCAAAACTGTAATGTCATATAAAATGTAATGAAACATAGATACAACAACACTCACTCTCAATGAAAACTTTGTTTCTTTCATAGATATTTAATTTCATTAATCATAGAAAATTGATAATCTTGTCAAGAGAGTTTCATCCATCGTGAAACTCATTTCTTCTCTCTCTTCTTAAAAATATTGCCAAGTTACCGGAATGTTTATGTGGCAGCTTATTAAACTATGATAAAACTTCCACCGGAAATGGTCTTATAATATCTCCATAATTCGTATACCGGTGGTATTCCATACTAGCACTATAAGATTAGGGCCGGACGAAAAGCCCATGGCTCGCCAACTCACTTAACTCATGGTTAAATTGGCTTGACTCGGCTTAGCTCATTAGCCTAATGAGTTAGCTCGAGCTATTAGCCTAATGAGTTAGCTCGAGCTAGAGTTTCAGCTGTTACATAGCTTGTGAGTCGGCTTGCAATCCGCACGAACCAGGCATTAAAAAACTTTGTTTCTCTCACACAAGCTAGGCATAAGCACATGAATTCACATTCCCATCAACGGTTCACCTGATTTCTCACACCCCAAGGACCGGAGCTACATGAGGCAGACTTATCTTTTTGATTGAAGAAAAAACTGTAGAATTTATCCTCTAAGTGACCTCCCCATGCCCGGTTCCCGCCTGCTATCTTTTTCTTTCTCTCACCTCCTAGAAGCACCTATAGATGGCAGATGGCCAAACAGGCCGCTTGGCCCAGCCCAGCACGCCGTGCCGCCCGAGTCGTGCCTAAAAGGGCTTCGTGCCTTGCCATCGGCCGAGGCACGACTTGCTGGGCCAATTTTCAGGGCGGGCTGACCTGATAAGCACGGCCTGCCAAGGAGGCTAGGCTAGTCTGAGACCCACTTCACTAGGGAAAGAGAGGAGTTGAGGACGGTGGCGCTCGAGGCCGTGGAGTATCGTCCACTGCCTGCTCTTGCCTGTGCACAAGCCGAAGCTATCAAGCGCGAAGTCGCATGTTGCTAAAGATACTGGCGGCATTACGACCTCGGCGCAAAGGAGGCGGCACAACCTCGCCGCACGTGGAACTCAATTCGGATATTCTATTTGATTTGGGTTCTTTTTCAGTGATTTATGCTATGTTTGGATAATTGGATTCGATTGTGTGCTTGATTAGGTCTGGAATTGGTTATACATAGTTTATTGCCGTTTGATTTGTGCTTGATATGGCTCGATTTTATTATTTGAGGAGGTCTAAGTCTAATCTTGTGCGACCTTGTTTAGGGGATTTTATTTCGTTCGTATATGTTGATGAGCTGGCGAGCGGGAGAGCTGTTTTTTAGGGGATTTTATTTCGTTCGTATTTGATTTGGGTTCTGTTTCAATGATTTTATTGGCGTGCTCAAGACTAGTAGGAGAGCTGGCGAGGACGCCCAACAACGCCAACGGCTCAGGTACAAAGAGAGAAGAGACACGACGATACGGCACGGCACGGCACGGCACCGGGAGTCCGGCACGCACGCACGCCCTTTGAATGCCCCCTCCCGCGTGCCGCTGCCTCTGACCCGGACCCGTAGTATCTCCTCCTCTCCCGACTCGGAATCCGTCTCTCTCGCCCGCCTTGTTGTCCTTGCCGGCCGCCCCGGCTTCCTCTCGTCTTTCTTTTTTGCTGCTGTTGTTATATAGTATAATGTACTCCGCGTCTCACCTTCCCCTCTTCTCTTTGCAATCCGTATCACCATCTTCGCGTCGTTAATCCACCGCCTGAGTTGCTCCTCCGGCTTGGCTCTCTTGCCTTCTTCTTGCCTTGTCCAAGAAAGAAGAAGTAAAAATCAGGCAAGGAAGAAGCAGAGAGCATGTGTCCAGGATCCGTGGAGTCGGCGGGCAAGAGCGTGTGCGTGATGGACGCGGCGGGGCCGCTGGGCCACGCGCTGGTCGACCGCCTCCTCCGCCGCGGGTACACCGTCCACGCCGCCACGTACGCCTCCTGCGGTGGTGACGAGCGGGAGGAGGAGGAGGAGGAGGCCGCGGCGGCGCTGCTCAGCCACCTGTCGTCGTGCGGCGGCGACGTCGACGCGTACAGGCACCGGCTGAAGGTGTTCCGCGCCGACCCGTTCGACTACCACGCCATCGCCGACGCCGTGCGGGGGTGCGCCGGCGTCTTCTGCATGTTCAACACGCCCGACGACCAGGCCCAGTGCGATGTGAGTACTTACAAATCAAAACAGCAGCTTTCTTCCTTTCTTTCTTCTGTCTCTTTATATTATATGATTATCACAACTTGGGTTTTTTTTTCAATCAAAGGAATGAAAGCTCGTTTGTACGAGTATATAGCTTAGTTGCAAAGAGAATTGGATTGGATTATAAACTCTCCTATAGTATAGTAGACCCAGCCAGAGCTAGCTTATGCTAGCACTGTAGCATGAAGAGGGACAGGGCAGAGCCTACTTTTTCCCTCTTTCCATCAAGAGTTTAGAGTGGTCCATCTCCTCCTCCCTGGTCTTGCTAGGCTGTTTGGTTCGTTCCAGAGGTGAGCTGGGACCCGGACCTCCTCCTCCTCTGATCCATTAATGACACAGACAGCTCATGTGTGGCTGTGAGTGAGCGCGCGGTGCGCCTCTTCTTCCTCCTCCAGCTCCAGGTGCGGTGTGAGGTCGTGCTCCTGGTCCTGCCCTACCAGGAGTACTAGTGGTACAGTGGAGTAGCTCGACTACTACACGGCCAAGGTGAGAGAGTGGAAGAAGAAGCTGTAGCCTGTAGCCTGTAGCCAGTAGCCACACGTACGTACACACACCCACGGCAACGGAGGGTGCAGTGCAGAACTGGGCCACGAACCAACCGCGGGAAGGGCCGAAGGGAACCGAACCCTTCCCGCGTGCAATTAAAACCCTTCACATGGGGCATGGCAGCTGCATGCGCTTCGTCCTTCGCCGCCCCTGCTGGCCTGCTCTGCTCTGTGCTCTCTCTCTCTGGGACAAGGACAAGCAGGCAGGCAGAGCTAGCACGACTGCACACGAGCTGGCTGTGGCTGGTTTTCTGATTGAGAGTTGCTTTTGGTTTGTGTTGCAGGAGTCGACGGTGGAGACGGAGGTGCGCGCGGCGCACAACGTGCTGGAGGCGTGCGCGCAGACGGACGCCATGGAGCGGGTCGTCTTCACCTCCTCCGTCACCGCCGTCGTCTGGAGCGGCGCCGGCGCCGGCACCGGCACCCACGGTCACGAGGAGGCCGTCGCCGACGAGAAGAGCTGGAGCGACCTCGCCTTCTGCCGGAAGTTCAAGGTACGCGCAACACACGCACGTCTCACCACTACTCGTACGAAGCTAGCGTCAGCGTAATAGGAGTAGGCAACTTGTTGCTTTACCTGCTGCTGACTTGCCGTGGCACCTGCTGGCTGCTGACGCACTTGCTAATAGTAGTTCACTCCATGGATTGGCCGTCGTTTCCAGTGCCGTCCGTGCGTAGGCAACTTTCATCAGCCAACAAAACAAAAGTTACGTCTACATCGGGCCAGCGGCTCAGCGCGGCACGCATGGTCAAGCCAAGCCCTGGGGGTCTTGGAGGGGGAGGGGTCGTTGGGACAGGTGGTGGGAAAGACCGAAAGAGATGGGTGACGTCCTCATCCAATTGGCTGCAGCCCCGGCCGCCGGCCGGTACCTTTCACTTCCATCCATCCATTAGGGATGCTGGGATGGGTGACAAGTCCCTCGTCCGTTCGCTGTAGCTTCCCGCACCTCTTTCTTTTGCGGTTGCCGTCGCGTCGCGTGCCACTCCAGCCCTGCGGGCAACGCACGGGCAGCGTGCGTGCTCGGCGATCTCGGTGGCCAACTCCATTTTGCATTTTTGCTGCTCTGCTTCCCTTAATCCCTTAATTACCTTGATGACCACAGCACAGGGACACCAATTAAGATTCAAGCGTCTACGAGTCACGGAGCTGTCTCTGTCTCTTGAGGCTGGCTGTACAAGTCCAACCTGTGCTGTGCGCATCAAATGAGGAGTATGGAACGATCGGGACCCCGCTTATAGATAGAGAAAAATCAGGTTTCAGACTTCGTACTGCTGATGAAGCTGACTTCTCAACTGTCTCTGGCTCGGGGTTAGGATACAGAAAGAGATATACACTACTAACTAATTAATAATAAAACCAACCAAGAAACATGCACATCATCATCATCAGACGCATACGCACCAAGAGTGTTTTCCTTTAATAATTCTGCTTTGCTAATCCTGATCGCCTCATCGTGCTTGCTGGGCCTCATGGTGCCAATAATCACACTGCAGCCTCCAATCAACTGCTGTCAGTGAAACATGCTGCCGCCTGACCTGACCTGTCTCCGTCTCTGCACTTCTGCAGCTGTGGCACGCCCTGGCCAAGACGCTGTCGGAGAAGACGGCGTGGGCGCTGGCCATGGACCGTGGCGTCGACATGGTGGCCATCAACGCCGGCCTGCTCACCGGCGCCCAGGGCCTCAGGCTCACCGCCGCGCACCCCTACCTCAAGGGCGCCCCCGACATGTACGACGGCGGCGTCCTCGTCACCGTCGACGTCGACTTCCTGGCCGACGCGCACGTCGCCGCCTACGAGTCCCCCACCGCCTACGGCCGCTACCTCTGCTTCAACAACGCCGTCTGCCGCCCCGAGGACGCCGTCAAGCTCGCGCAGATGTTCTCGCCGGCCGCACCACATGCACGCTCGCCACCACCACCAAGGTAGTCAATGCCACTTCTACTCAGTGCTAACTGTATACGTGTTTGTGCTGACAGAGACACGAACTACTCCTATTTTGTTCCTGTGCTGACAAAACATGTGTGCATTGATTTTTTTTTTTTTTGGCAGTGATGAGCTGAAGGTGATACCACAGAGGATTCAGAACAAGAAGCTCAACAAGCTGATGCTGGAGTTTGCCAGCGGAGTATACGGGGAGCTGGATTAGGAATCCCTGTTGTTTTATATTTATTATTTATTTATAATTATTATAATTACCCCACAGATGCAAATGCAATGCAATGCAACTAGGGTTGTTGTATTCTTTTGTAGTATTTGTAATATCCACCCCCTCAAAAAAGGGGAAATCAGTTTGGCTGGTCATGGCCAAACACGCCACGTGTATTGATGATACAGCCCTGCGCCCTGCCAAGGGGGAGGAGAGCATTTGAGTGATCGATCGATTGCCAACAAAGTATATCTATCTAGGTTCGTGAGTTACAGGGAAATTTGCAACTCTGTTATTGCCCTTGTATATGTACAGAAAAATACGACGAAATGCTGAACCCTCATTCTTACAAGGCACTGCATTCCATTAGTTACTTGAAAGCTTAAACGTTGACAGCAGAATCACATGAGTAATTGATTGGTCTGGCAAATAAATTAACTTGTAAGTGCCGAAATCAGTAAATGAACACCTACGAATTGTCTTTTTCCCCGACTAAAACTGTTCTAGACTTGCACATGATAAGTTGCACATTGACGAATATGTTCTGAAAAAAAAATCAGAGTATATGCCAATCCAACCTACCATCATTAAAAAAAACATTCATGCTCATGCGCTGCGTAATACTGTTAAAACTGTAGGATCACTCTAGGAGCGTGGATTTAGTTGGGTACTTCATATAAAAAGGGTAGCATGGCCTAGTACTAGTTCTAGACTGAGATGCAGAGAGAGGTGGATGAGGTCTGTTGAAAAGATCAAGATGTCTAAGAGGCGGTGAATTAGGCTAATTCTAAATGTCTTTGCAATAATTAAGTCCTATGATTAGCCCAATTAACCCCTTGTGCCTAAGAAGTGTTTCTAGTTATTCTATCGCACAAATGACTTGCAACCTAAGTTTCAATCCTACTCTAGCATGGCAATTCTATGAATTATAAAGACAAAAATTGAATTGCTCAATATAAATACTCAAAGTAATTGCTCAAAGGAAATACTCAAAGTAAATGCTCAAAGTAAATAGAGAGAGACGAACGCGGCGATGTTTTGCCGAGGTATTAGAGAGTCGTCACTCCACACTAGTCCTCGTTGGAGCACCCACGCAAGGGTGTAGCCCCCCCTTGATCCGCGCAAGGATCAAGTGCTCTCTATGGGTTGATTCTTCGACACTCCGTCGCGGTGAATCACCCACAACCGCTTACAACTTGAGTTGGATCATTCACAAGCTCTCCGGATGATCACCAAGCTCTTCAATCACCACCAAGCCATCTAGGTGATGGCGATCACCAAGAGTAACAAGCACGAACTCTCACTTGACCACGACAAGCCTAGGGAGAAAGATGGATGTACACTTTGCTACTCTTGATCTCGCTAATGAGGGCTTTCTTTGTGATTCTTAAATCTCAATCACCTCACTAGGACCTTGCTCTTCTTGGGACTCTCTAAGGTGTGTTTCAGCTGTTGGAATGAGCAAAAGTAGCTCTACACACGAGTGGAGAGCTTCTATTTATAACAGGGGCTGAAAAACGAACCATTATGTGCTTCTGCGGGATGACCGGACGCTCCGGTCATGTTGACCGGACGCTCCGGTCAGTACTCCCCGAATCCCAGTGTTAACAGTGTGACCGGACGTCCCTCTCTAGAACCTTACTAGAAACGACCGGACGCAGGCTCTCAGCGTCCGGTCACTTGACCTTCCAGCGTCCGGTCGCACCAAACGATTTCACCTCAGTCAAATGAACTGACCGGACCCTGAGCCAGCGTCCGGTCAGTATTTGACCCTCCATTCACTTCCAACTCTCGATCATACTGTCGGTGTTTCAGAACCGGGGGTCCTTAACCCACAAGTGAATTTGTGCTGCGTGCTCCCAATTCCGGATGGTGATGCAAAGAGACACAAGGTTTATACTAGTTCGGGCAACAGATGCCCTACGTCCAGTCTGAGAAGATGTTCTTGTATTTCTTGCACCGGGTGCTCGTAGTAGGGGTTACAAGCTAGGCGAGAGGGAGTTCGTCCCAGTCTCGTGAGGGAGGAGATATGAATTACAGAATGAGGCGTGTTGTTCGTGCGATTATTCGTGACTCTATCCGCCGTCCCTAGAAACGGTCCTGGCCGCCTCCTTTTATAGCCGTAGGGAGAAAACCAGGAGTACATAAGAGAGCTACACGTGGAGCGGACTATTCGATGACGATTTACTCCTCGGAGCAAAGCATGGCGTTGTCGTGGGAGTTCCGTAGATGTCTAATCGGTATGGTCTCCATCGCAAGTAACATCTTTGCGCATTTGTTGACTTGGTGGATTGCGAGAGGCTCGGCGGCCATCGTGGCCGGTCGTCTGCGAGGCCTGTTGTCCGAGGCTCGCCGTGTCGAGGCCCCGAGAAGTGACCCAGTGCGGATCGGGTCTCAGCCGCCATCGAGCGGAATAGTGCGAGACGTCGCGCCTACGAGGATACTGATACCTGTATTGTCGATGGGGATGGTAAAAAGGTGATCGACCGTTGTCCCGTCGCTCCTATTGCGGCAAGCACTTGCCGATCGTGGCTTACGTGGCGGGTGCGGTGGCGCGCGTGTCGGATCGACGGCCTGCCAGAGAGACCATTGAGGCGGAGGCGATGAGGTTGCGGGGCGAGCCCGGCCTCGGGTGAGGCGGAGCGCGCCCAATTGTCCGAGAGCCCTACCGGGGGTCTCGGGCGAGGCGACGGGCGAGGCGGAGTAAGATCGCGAATCCGAGGCCTTATCGAGGGGCTCGAGCGAGCCGGGCGGTCGGTCCGCCGATTCCGAGGCTCTGAGGAACCCGCTTCGACTCCCACATTGCGATGTCCTTGGTGCGGAGTTAGGCAACGATAGTGGTCGGTAACCCTGCTCTGTGCCGTCCGCAGATGGCGGAGGTTGACGCGACCGGCGTGTAGTCGGTCACTTCACTGTCTTTGTGCCATCGTCGTCTGTCTGTCGGAGTGGTTGGGCGCTTGGATGCGACGTTCGTCGAGCGATTTGGTCGAAGAGGCGATCCACGGGTCTGGTCTTGAGCCGCCTCGAGCGAATCGGAGAATCGGCACTTCTTCCGAGGCCCCGGCGAGGGGCCTCAACGGGGGCCTCGGCGAGGCGGTCTCAAGGCGAGTCGGAGAATCGTTCGCTTCATTGGGGCTCGGCGACGGTCTCGGGCGAATCGGAGATTTCGGCCGAGATCTCGTTTGTTTATTCCGTTGGTTCTGCTTCTTAGGGTCTAAGCAGTTTTGATCTTTGCTTGGGGTACCCCATTTTTTCGGTATCCGACAAGTAGCCCCGAGCCTCGGTAGTGAGAGTGGGATACTCTCCCCGAGGTTTTTTCGAGACTTTTATTTCTCAGTGGCTCTTGTCGGGTTTGTTTTATACACGCAATTCTGGTGGGTGCGCGTGAGCGCACCCACCGGGTGTAGCCCCCGAGGCCTTAGAGGAGTGAGTTTACTCCTTTAGGGGCTTTTTCTTCGTTGAGTAAGGCGCTCTATCGTATTTGCTAGACCCATGAGAGCGAGCTCGGGTCGCTTGTTTTCGTTTGGGGTGCAGGAGGAGCCCCCGAGCCTGCCGAGCCCTCGCGTGCGATCCTAGGTCGCTGGGTCTTAGCAAGTTTTGCAGGAAGAGCCCCCGAGCCTCCGCACGGAGCGAGAGGGCGGTCAGGAGTTCTCCTGGCTTTTTGTACGACCCTCGCGCATCCTTTTCGTTCGGAAGGAGGGGTTGTTTGCCGAGCTCTTCGTGTGCGAGCCTAGGCCGCTGGGTCTCGGCAAGGTAGCAGGAAGAGCCCCCGAGCCTCCACACGTAGCGAGAGGGCGATCAGGAGTTCCCCTGGCTTTTTGTACAACCCTCGCGCATCCTTTTCGTTCGGAAGGAGGGGTTGTTTGCCGAGCCCTTCGTGTGCGAGCCTAGTCCACTGGTCTCGGCAAGGTTGCGGAAGAGCCCCGAGCCTCCGCCGCGTGCGAGAGAGGCGATCGGGAGTTCCCCGCTTTTTATACGACCCTCGCGCGTCCTTTTCGTTCGGAAGGAGGGGTTGTTTGCCGAGCCCTTCGTGTGTGAGCCTAGGCCGCTGGGTCTCGGCAAGGTAACAGGAAGAGCCCCCGAGCCTCCGCACATAGCGAGAGGGCGATCAGGAGTTCCCCTGGCTTTTTGTACGACCCTCGCGCATCCTTTTCGTTCGGAAGGAGGGATTGTTTGCCGAGCCCTTCAGTATCACGAGCCTAGGCACTGGTCTCGGCAAGGTTGCAGGAAGAGCCCCCGAGCCTCCGCACGTAGCAAGAGGGTGATCAGGAGTTCCCCTGGCTTTTTGTACGACCCTCGCGCATCCTTTTTGCTCGGAAGGAGGGGTGGAACATGCCAGGCTTCCCTCGGTGGGCGCGAACGGTGACATTTCTGGTGAGCTTTTATCGGGTAAGTCCGAGTGGAGGCCCGTGCCCCATTCGATAGGGGTCGGCTAGTGGTCCAGAGACGCGCTCCAAAAAAAGTACCAGAAGGCTTCTCTAGCGGGTGCCAGGGCCGTTCGATTGGCCCTAGGGGCTCGGTGCCTCCCTACGGTGGGATCCCCTTTAGAGAACTCCTGCTGGTCTCGGACACAACTTAGGGCATCCCAAGCAATCGCTTGCCTGGGCCTCGGCCATGTACGGGCTCGCCCATAGTTGTCCCTGACTCTGTTGTCCTAGGGCGGCTGTCGAGGCCCTGGATGGCCCAGCCTTCATGCCCCTAGATCGTAATGGGCTTGGTGCCCTTTTTCATCGCGTTTTTCCGACCCTCGGGGTGTGAGAGGTTGCAGGAAGAGCCCCCGAGCCTCCGCACGTAGCGAGAGGGCGATCAGGAGTTCCCCTGGCTTTTTGTACGACCCTCGCGCATCCTTTTTGCTCGGAAGGAGGGGTTGTTTGCCGAGCCCTTCGCGTGCGAGCCTAGGTCGCTGGGTCTTGGCAAGGTTGCAGGAAGAGCCCCCGAGCCTCCGCACGTAGCGAGAGGGCGATCAGGAGTTCCCCTAACTTTTTGTATGACCCTCGCGC